TACATGTCTTTAGACCGCGGTGGGCAGGTAGGGGGAATGTGGGCGTTACAAAATTGATTGATATCATCACAAATGCTCCACTGGTTCAACATGTATAAGGTGTAAAATCCATCTTAAATCCTCACAATCCGAATTGTGTTAATTGTATTCCTACTACATACCAGATATCTAGAAGTGGATGATCCTTTACATAAAAAAAAGATTTTAATTTAATCGTATAAGTAATGGATGTTTCACGAATTGGTGTTTGAGAAGCCGGTGAACGCACTACCAGTCGAGGGACAGAAACAAGGTGCATGCACTGGCTGACTCCACACCAAACGAGTGATATATCCTACTTAAAAACGTGTACCAAATGCATAAAATATATGTAATATGAAATATATGTAGGATCGTCTATGAACGGGACCAGAGTCTTCACTTGGCATGGTCTTCAGATTATATATATACATGAACTTTACACACAATCGTATAGTCAGAGGTGTTCCGAATGAGATGTTAGATAAGTTGTTGTCTTATTCGAAATTGGTATCCGTTGGATATATGCATATACCACTTCTTACTTAATGACCCTTCAGTTTATCCGATTCCTAGCTGTTGAGTAAGAAAATATGTTCCTCCTTTAACAATGGATGATGTCATACATATTTTATATAAGCACAAGTTTGTATTTCTTTTAATCTCAAAGTTACACGTGATGTTATTACACATTTCGTGGTGACATAGTTACGCTGTCAGAACAGCAAATGCATAGTTTGGGTTAGGAACTCACGTTTTACCTCACCAGGCGAATTTGTTATCCTCAGTGGGTTCCACTCTTATATTGTTTTTCAAATTGTGATTTACTGCTTAAAATTCGCGGGGTCATCAATATTTCACTGCTTCGTATTAAGTACATACAATGTATTCGCAGGGGTTAAATTTCGCTTTGCACACGAATCCCATGTGTCGTGCAAAGTATTTTGAGTGTCATCATTTAAGGGTTAAACCTCAAAATACAGGTAAACCGTTTGAAAACACTGATTCCGAACGTCCTCATCCGGCATTGACTTTGTAGGAGTAAGCTGTAATCAATTAATCACTTACTATGTACACAAAAATGTGTTGTGGGTACTTACATGTATTTGTAAGTGTTGTCTTTACATGTACTGCCCATTTGCCCGGTGATAATCTGATTTGAGTTCATTCAACCTGTTGTGATAAGATCCATACAATTTGTTAACATTTTCGATAATTTCGTTGGTGTTTTGAATTCGCGGATATTAGTCAAAGCGCGAATATAGCGAAATCAAAACCCCCGCGAAATATAACCGCGATACAGTAAATTGACAAAAATTGATGGTGACTAAAATTTATGAAACCCTCAGGATTTTTATTCGATTGTAACTCCAGAGGTTCACTAACATTCAAAATTCCTTCACTCGTTTTATAATGAAATGCAATTTACGACAGATCCTGAACTTTGGGATGAGTCATTCTTATATAGATAATACTATGCGGTCATTTCAGTCAGTACATATATGGTCATACCTTATGCAATGCATCCAAGTACTTCTGGCTACCTTTTGTTATCGTGATGCGAGTCTATTTACCAATACGAAATACTATGGTATATTTTGTTTCATTTCCTACGAAGTAAATAAGAGTAACTAACATTCCAGATGAAGTCTCAGAATCAATTTCTTTTTATAAAAAACACGCGCAAGGAACAAACATTTTTATCCGCTACATTATGTGTACAGCTATTGAAACACATTTTCTATAACTTGCATTCCTTCATGAAAATGTATATCATTAGTTATCATATGTTTACTAATAATAACACCCTTTTTGTATTGCCGCTTCCGCTTATTGCTGTCTGCTTTTATGTAAACAAACAGAAACAGGAAGTGTATTGAAGTCGCTTTACCCATGCCCACTGTATCCGATAATGTCCCTTCAATAATTGACCTACCAGTTATCATGACAAATTCAAAACGTTCTTCCTTGTCATTCTCACACAAACTTTTTACAGAGGCAAATATAAAGGGAGGGTCATTCACCATAAACATTGAAGCTATGGAACGCCATTAAAAAACGTTGAATGGCGATGATCGATTCAGACAGTGATTAAGTTGAATTCCAACCAGATCCAGTGTGTTATATTGTTAAAAATATTAATAACCATATTATTTTGTAGGAGTTTGGGAATTTCTAAATGTTGACTTTTTACGTATAATTGTTACTGTTTTGCTTATATACATAATTGTTTTTGTTACCATTTTTATGAATATCAGTAAATAAAATGAAGAAAAATGTTTTTGTGAATGTTTTCTTTATTTTAAAAGGAAAAAAACCTTTTGATAAACAGTTTATGATATGACCATTTTGATTTCACACCCCCAATCAGCCCTCGAGTCCTGTTATCAGCCCTCGGGCATTCGGCCCTCTGGCTGATATCAGGACTCTCGGGCAGATATGGGGTGTGATATCAATATGCACCGAAACATAAAATCATGTGTTTAACATTAAAAAACATGTTTACATATATTGTTATATGGTTGTGAGATTTGGGTTATGAAAATTACTCAATTATTGAAAAAGTAAATACGTGTTTTCCCCATAGTGTTATTAATGTCATAAGGAGTGCACATTTATGCATGTAATATGGTGAATTGAACGTTTTCCTCTTACTGTTTATATGAAGAGTCGTGTTATAGGTTTCTGGCTTCAATAAATAAATAGTAAGTAAAGCAAATGATCTTACTGTATGTATAAAACCCTACAGTGTATAGGACGGTCATATTAATAGTTCCTTGACCCATTAACGGTTAACTGTTGTTGAAAACATGTTAACAAAACTGGCTTCAGCTCTGGTTGTCTCAAAACCTAAACAACCAGTGCATCATGTAATTGATTCAAACTCAAACGTCAGTATTTAAAACCATGGCATGATACAGTGTATCATTAAGCTAAAAGGCATGTAATAGAATGTTAACAACTGATATAAAGATTGAACCATATCTTTTGATCATACTGAAAAAGTTAAGAACCATTCTAAGAAGTTATCGTGAGGTATCGTGAGGCACATTTTTCGTGAGGCATCGTGAGGCACATTGAGGTATTATATATATAACCTTATATAGTTTCGTTAGGCATTGTGAGGCATCGTGAGGCACCTTTTTCGTGAGTTTTGCATATAAGTACATTTCAAGGTCACATTTAGGTCATATTGAGGTCACAGTACATCTTCTATAAAAAGTGCTGACTAACCTTAGGGTTTGCTTGTACCGCAATACTCAGAAACAGATTGACCTCGGCAACTGTGTAAACATCGTCATGCGATCATAATAAAGCGGTGATTAGTCCATTGTTACTCGTTAAAGTTGGTTTTAACACCATCACATACATGTCTTTTGTTTGATCCTTCATGTTTTCAAGTTTGAATTTTGATGAGTTGATTAGTAATATATTGTCTGGTATAGTTATTGTCCAAACATTTACCACCATTGGAAGTACCATAGTTAAGTAATCCAATTTCCATGACCCCCTAAATTTCCCTATACTCTCCATGAAATACAACATTTATACAGAAGTTAAGAATAAAAATTCCATTATCAGCATTAAATTCAGTATGCCAATTCATTCTGGCTTCTGCCGCCATATTGGGGGCGATCTACCTGGTGTCCCACAAAAAGGACAAAGACGACCATCAATCCTATCGTAACAAGATGTACATATTGCTCGATCATCAGGACAACAGTGGCACTCAGTTTTACACTGATCTATTGTTACAATAAGTCCTCCCCTAGGCAACAGATGGAGACTTATCAATTGTGTAATTCATGCGTTACATATGTAGGACGACACTCTTACATACTAGTCTTTAGTTGTTGTAAATCTTCATAAATACTTATTTATACTTAATAAGATTTACAACAACTAAAGACTAGTATGTAAGAGTGTCGTCCTACATATGTAACGCATGAATTACACAATTGATAAGTCTGAATCTGTTGCCTAGGGGAGGACTTATTGTAACAATAGATCAGTGTAAAACTGAGTGCCACTGTTGTCCTGATGATCGAGCAATATGTACATCTTGTTACGATAGGATTGATGGTCGTCTTTGTCCTTTTTGTGGGACACCAGGTAGATCGCCCCCAATATGGCGGCAGAAGCCAGAATGAACTGGCATACTGAATTTAATGCTGATAATGGAATTTTTATTCTTAACTTCTGTATAAATGTTGTATTTCATGGAGAGTATAGGGAAATCTAGGGGGTCATGGAAATTGGATTACTTAACTATGGTACTTCCAATGGTAGTAAATGTTTGGACAATAACTATACCAGACAATATATTACTAATCAACTCATCAAAATTCAAACTTGAAAACATGAAGGATCAAACAAAAGACATTTATGTGATGGTGTTAAAACCAACTTTGACGAGTAACAATGGATTAATCACCGCTTTATTATGATCGCATGACGATGTTTACACAGTTACCGAGATCGATCTGTTTCTGAGTATTACGGTACAAGCAAGGTAAGTCAGCACTTTTTATAGAAGATGTACTGTGACCTCAATATGACCTTAATGTGACCTTGAAATGTACTTGTATGCAAACCTAACGGAAAATGTGACTCACGATGCCTCACGAAAATGTGCCTCACGATACCTCACGAAAAATGTACCTCACGATGCCTCACGATGCCTCACGAAACTATATAAGGTTATATACATAATACCTCAATGTGCCTCATGATGCCTCACGAAAAATATGCCTCACGATACCTCACGAAAAATGTGCCTCACGATGCCTCACGAAAAACGTTCTAAATGTAGTAGAGATTATAATACGTGTAAGCTGTAATATTTGAATATTTCGTTTACTAAAACTTTGTCTCTTTCTCCTGATCCATTATTGCATATTTGGTATTCTTTCTTGTTGTATGAATTGTGCTTTAATTATACAGCACATATTAATACATTATGTCTGTCATTATCTTTACAGTGGCGTCGGCGTTAAGACTACTACAGCTGCGCTCAGTACAGGTCAGTGTGTGCCTAATTTCGCTCATCGTTACAGTGGTCCTGTACGCACAAAAGAACGAAAAGCCCATATATTCAGATACCATAACTGCCACAAAGACAATTGGAAAAACTATGTATTCTAGGAAAGATTTATGGAGAGAGGACAACCAATCTGTTCACTCCGACATATCGTCAACAAAAATTATTCTTTCATATACACCAGCCAGGTGGTTTGACGAGTGGGTAGGTACAAAGTGGAATACCACCAATGTGTTCCGAACATGTCCAGTGTCGAATTGTGTTTTAACACAGGACAGGACAATGCTAAATGTAGCTGATGCAGTCCTGTTCAGATTGAATGATCTAGGGACGTGTAGGACTAAATTTAAACAAGGACAAGTATGGGTTTTATTCGAACATGAGTCCCCAAACTATGCTCATAAGTCGTTAAAGAAATGTAATAACAATCTCGTAAATTGGACGCTCACATATCGGCGGGATTCTGACTTCATGTTGGTACACGGACAGTTCCCACAACACGACACAGGGTACAATGTGAGTGGGATGTACCAATTATTGCGATCGAAATCAAAGACAGCTGTTGGCTTTATAAGTCATTGCAAAGCTCCTTCAAAACGAGACGAATTTGTACGCAAACTTCGATCATACGGCGTGGACATTGATATATATGGCAAATGTGGAAATCTTACGTGTGGTGGGGGAAAAGACACTAAATGGAAGGGCGTGTGGAATGTGACGTCAGGACATAAAGATAACTGCTTTGATGTTCTAGACAGTCAGTACAAATTTTATCTTTCTCTGGAAAATTCTTTATGTAAAGATTACGTCACAGAAAAGTCCCTACATCTTGTATTACGTCATCAAATTGTGCCGATAATTAGAGATGGCGCCAATCGTTCACTATATCACCCCCCACACTCCTATGTTGATACAAAGGATTTCAAAAGCATAAAATCGCTTGCAAAATATATCAAATATTTATCAGAAAATTTTGACGAGTATTTGCAGTTTTTTAACTGGAGGAAACAGTATTCTGTTGAAACTGTAAGTGGTGTTTTACAATCTGTATTTTGTGATATGTGTAATCGCATGCATAATCAGCATCGTTACAAACGGTTGTACAATAATGTGAAACATTTTTATGAAAAATCGCATGGAAGGGAGACAAATAAACATATCTGTAGAAACCGATTGATATAAAATTGGTTTCCTGACATGGTTTTTGGAATTAATTTTGACAAGCAGCGTTTCTTTCATGAATCGAGCTACATTGTTTCAATTCTACAACAGTAGAATGATTTTGATGATTTATAACAAAACATGTACTGTGGTCAAGATATTAATCATTATATAGCCGATGTCATATCAGCGTATTCAAGTTCTATTTATGATTAAATGCGTTATTTTGATTTCCTGTCAATATCATTAATTAACCATACATGTAATATATATGTAATAAAAAATAGTAAACGAGATATCTTTCAACAGTATGTCGAATCAGAACATTATTATAATGAAGAAATCTACATCTATGGGACTATATCACTATTTCCGACTCCACAAATTCTACAAAAAGACGTCACACAAGTGGTACATTTTGAACGATTGAAAGCCGATGACTATACTAGTGGAATGTAGCTGGAGTCGGTGATAATGAGGGCGATGTTGGATCAATAATAACAAGGTGGCAGTGACCTACTTATCAACTTTGTGCTACTTTGTTCGGCCATTTTTGTTATTTGCAGCTTTAGTGTTACACAATATATCAACATTGTGTGCTTTTTATACTTCTACACTCATAACAAGAAACAACGCGGCCAAAAGGGTGACATTTGAATTTATTCCAATAGAGCCACTTTAATGTCTCTAATCATAAAAAAATATATAACGTGAAAGAGACTGAAATACATACATTATTTGCAATGTTGCAAACACAGGAGCAACTACCACACAAAATATACAAAAAATGTCAGCTAGCTTTAGTGGGGTTGGCCAAAAACCGAGAGCGTAAATAATTACTCCATTGGACGCGCAGCCTAAGACGATGAAAATAGGGGAAATAACTGCTTCTTCACCTACACTTAAACAAAAGTACACGTTGTTGCCAGTACAGGCAAGCACCACTAGTTGATCGACTCAAGCAAACCAACGTAGCATATACAAAATTTACAAAGCGTTCGAAAAATTGTCATCATTTATTGTTTGACCGAACAGCCATCCACTTCAAAAGAGTCTGTAAAAGAAAATATTGTCACCAGATTCAGGAAGGCCTTATAATGTTAATGAGCTCAGGTACATGACTGAGCAGTCCACCACTGATCACATTTTTTTCTCCGGAGGGAAGCATCCACGGTTGGTTCTTCAAAAATGTGAACAGCATGGACCTCTAGTCACCGTTAATAGCTTGATATTCAAAAGTAAATGATACCACAAGCTAACACTCATTGGCAAACGTAAAAATAAACACAAAAATAATAACAGGAAGGTGGGTGGAAGTTGTAGTTAGAAATTAATAACAGAAACGATACAGCAATTGGTTACCCGGCTCAAGCAGAACAACTCTTATGTTGAGGAACTAATATATTTCGGAAAGCATTGGACTTCCATCGCCAGCTCGCCCGAATTTGAGCATCATATTGACCTTGTTCTGCTGCAAAAGATGCTGCACCTATCCAAAAACTGTGACCCTTGTACACGGTACCATCTAGACCACAAAAAGACAAACTTAAATGCAAAATCCTATCAAATAGCTCTGAGAAACTGATTTTTTGTTCAACATCAAAAACAATGGGCCCTCCTCGGTGTCTCTGTATTTTAGATATTCAACAAGAGAATGTACAGCCGAACATAGTGTTGGGCCATGGCCAAATGTGAAAATGTGTCAAATAGCATAAGCATTGTGCTTAAAATGACAAAAATGTACCTGGACGCAAGGAGACTTTCTGTCAGTTTTAATAATGACATTTTGGAATTGAACTGAATTCTTTAGGTTACCAGCCTCTGCAATTTCTCCTATCCTAGCAAAAGCATTAAATGCAAAAAGATCGCCCGAAATAAAATGATTTCAAACGTATTCTTAGCTGTATTAATTCAAAATCTTCTCCAAGACAAGCACTGTTATAGGAATTCGCATATCGATGGAAGGTGCTAAACGATATGCACAAGCAGATAGCTTCCAAATAAGAAAATATTCAGTTGGGTCAGAATTATTTTTGAGTTTGTGTACAAAGGCCACAGCAGAGAGATACGTGGAAATCAATAAATTATATCAAATTGTCTATTTATCTTTTTAATAAAATAAAACATGTTATTCCTACATAAATTACATTTGTAATCGTGTTATTTTACAAAATGTACAGTACTTGCAGCACCTCTTGACAGACAAACTTGCTATCGATGATAGTCATGTCTTATTTTAGCCAAATCATGAAACATAATCTAATCAAGTTGCTGAGAAACAAATTGTATGATGTTTGTGTAAATTGGTTGAGAAATTAGAACACGACAATTCAAAAGCAATACATTGATAAAATAACCTACGAATCTGTGTAAGGGGGAAATCATTACAAAATCAATACTCTTCATATAATATATATATCGGTTAACATTTTTCTGATGAAGTCGAAGGCCAAAGGACAGTACGCTGATGTAAAATGACATGAAATAATGACGATTGACAAGTGTTAAACACATTTTTGGATAAAACTGCAGATCGCATATTCTCTGAGGAAGTACGACAATAATATTGGGAACGGCAAAATTTCTGTATAAAGGGGAATAACTCGAGAGAACATTTACTGATCTGCACCAAATCGCATTCTACAAAGGTGATACAGTTTTAAAGAAGTATTGGGTTCATAACTTGGTCGTATGGGGTAATATTGGGTAGTATGGAGGTAGTATTGGGTCATAGTCACGGCATTTCGGTGATGTTTTCTGCACCAAATCGCATATTTTCCTATAAAATATGCCGGCAGATAGAAGTAAATAACTTCTACAAAGGTGGTATTTCACAGTATTAACGTTGTACTGGGTTTATAACTGGGTCGTATGGGGGTAGTATTGGTAGTATTGGGTAGTTTGGGGAAGTCCGTGGCATCCTCGATATCCAGGGGTTACGCTCACTCGCTCTCTACACCCCTGGAATATGTCGTGGCAAAATTGAAGGCTTGGTGTGCGCCACCTTGTTACATTTAGTGAGACAAGAAGACTTGTTCGATCCCGTGATGTACATCAAAAGAATCTCCCGGTCACATAACGGTAAACATTGACAGGCTTTACAGTCGGGCCGGCGTCACTCCTTTGTAATCTTCAAAGGACATGTATCAGCCTAGCGATTGGTCAGGTGTTTTTTTTTACCTGAGACCAATCAAACAGCTATCTTCGTGCCTTCAATTTAGCTCTGCCATATTCCAGGGATGTAGAGAGCGAAGGTGAGCGAAACCCTGGATATCGAGGATGAGTCCGTGGTTACAACAACTGTTCCCTCCAATCTGGAGTAATACAGTATGGGGTTGAAAAGTAACACACTTCTCATCCACCGCACTCGAATGGCGGGAATTGAAACTGTCCACTGTTCCACCACCAATGCCTAAGCTATCAATAATACACTGCTGTAACCAGAAATTTAAAGGAAATTGTCCCTGTTCAATCTCTGTAAAAAGGCGCCGTATAAAACTATGTCCTAAACACCGCCATAATGTGGCAAGCATAATATAAGTTAAATACTTAAGGTTTTTCTGTCAGAACTTCGCTCCCCGCTGGTCAGACTAAGCAGCCTCGGGTCAGACTCCGGCTCCGTGAACCCTGGACCGAGGAAATATTCCGTTGTATCGCTGTTTATGTACGTGTTGACGTAGTCCAATGTACGAAATTTTCCGTCTTTCTGACTTGTCCAAGAGTTATATACCTGGATCAATTCCCTTTTTTTTTAATTCCAATATGCAGTGCTTCTATATGCATTCCAAAATGGCTGCTGAATGAAGAAGGGGACGCGATCTCTAAAGCCAATTGCCCAATCACTGACCAGCATCAATTAATACCGATGACTTCATCAGCAGCCACTAATTAGCCTGCATCGAGACACACCCATGGCATACGCACAGTATCTACAATACACTACAATTGAAAATAATACATATGCAACCTATATTAATAATTGTTCCAAAAATTATAAAGGCACCTAATAATTAAATACTTATTTACTTGTTATGGCATTTCGAGCATAAATTAAGCTAATTGAAAGGCTGCCTTATCTACCAATATTTCAGTATTCACGTGGACGTAAATTAGAGTTTAATGGAAGTCTGTAGTTTAGTTGTTGCAATCCAAACGAAAAAATTGTCACTGTATTTTCATGTCGTGGCCGAAGTGTGTATTATGTTTACAAAGAACTGGGATTTATTAACACAAAATCCTTTTGTGTGATGCCCAAAACTGGGCATTATTAACACAATGGGCCTTTCATGTCACTGAATGAAAGTGGGCATTATTAATACAAAGGCCTGACTTCATACAGTTGTAGATGACATAACAGACTCCACACTTCACCACTGTATAAAAACTGAACATAAAATTCAAAAGAACACAAAACAATAGAAAGGAATAAATTGGATTGGATTTTAATTACAATAATAAGTTTATTTTTTTCATTGTTTCCAATGTCCCCATCATGTGGTTTAAATGCTTAATGGCAAAACATTAGTGTCACTGGAGCTAACACCGGCTGCTGCTTCGGTCTCAAAAATATTTTATCTGTTTTTATTCAGAACCATCAAATCATACTCTGCTCAGTTCATGTCCTCCTAAGCTGCGAAAGAAACAAATATGTTAATAATTACAAACATACACACACACACACAGATAATACAAATACAGGACACGAGTACAGGACATTGAAGTGACATATTTTTTGATAGAAAAGTTACGAGTATGCAGTGTACGTAAGACATTTCGCTACTGATAATGTATCATTAAAACTTTGAACATAACCAATGATTAAAAAGGTTTTAGAAAACAGACGAGAAACGAATTTCATAAATTATGATTGAATGAATAATCGGAGGATTTCATCGAATGGAAGTGAATACATTGTTTAATATAACTGTTTTGATCCAGGGGAAAAAAGAATGTAAAAAATCACTCTTGTTATGTGCCAATAGTGATTGGACAAATGCGGTAATTTTTACAGAATTTTAAGCAAAAAATAGCAGCTATTATTATTTATGTGAAATAATTAAGCGAAAACAAATGGATGACAATATCAAATATCATATTAATTTCTTGCGACGTTTACCTGAGCCGAAGCCAATATCCATGTCAGCAGTACTAGTATCCATGTATCCGGTACTGTGGTGTTTTCTGCATTTTCTGTCTCTTTTTCGGTACAGACGATTGGATTTGCGTCAAAAACACTTTCGTTCACCCGTTGGTTCTGTCAGAGTCGTGATCCATCATGCGTTGTAG